TCTCTCCACGAACCCCTCGCCCTAGAACCCTGACCATCCTCCCCCCCTCGGCCGAACGGCGGCACCCCTTTGCCATCGATATGTTTATCAATATTTAATAAACAACATGTCCCGACGCGCTTGCCGAAACCCCCTTCTCCAGCTCCCTCGCCCTCAAGCTCCCCCCGCCCCGCTCCCCCCTCGGAGCACCCGGCCTCGGAAGTCCACTATATTCCTACTTGCCGTCGTTGTATAAGGTATACACTGCAATCCTGGCAGAGAGGCTAAGAGAGGAGCTGGAGTGGAAGAGAATAATACCACAAAACCAGATAGAGTTTAGAAGGGGAATGGGAACTATAGACAACATTTATGTGCTGAATCATTTGGTAAATAGAAGGTTGGAGAAAAAAGGGGGAAAGCTGATAGCATGTTTTGTGGACCTTAAGGCGGTATTCGATTCGGTAGACAGAGGAGTCTTAATAAAAGCAATGAGAGAAAGGGGAATAAGGGGAATAAGAGAAGGGGAATAAGGGTAGGGAAATAAGGGAAGGGTTGGTGAGAAGGACAGAGGAGATTTTGAGAGAAACGGAAAGTAGGGTAAGGGTGGGAACTGAAATAGGGGAAGAGTTCTGAACAGGGAGGGGTGTAAGACAGGGGTGCCCACTGAGCCCGTTACTGTTTAATGTAATGTTAGCAGATATGGAGGAAGAAGTGGGAAAGGTGAAATGGGGAGGGATAATGGTAGGAGGTAAGAGGATATATACATTGGCGTACGCGGATGATGTAGTGCTAATAGCAGAGGATAAGGACCAAATGAGGAGCATGTTAGAAAGGCTAGAAGGATACTTAGATAAGAAGGGACTAGATCTGAATACGGAGAAAACGAAAATAATGACGTTTAAAAAAGGCGGAGAGAGGAAGAGCAAGAGAAGATGGAGATGGAAAGGAAAAGAAATAGGAGAGATGAAGAAATTCTGTTATTTAGATTATGTATTTCAAAGGAATGGAGGACAGGAAGCACAGATATGGGAAAGGATTAAAAAGGTGGCCGCAGTGATGGAGAAAGTTTGAGGGATAGGGAAGAGAAGATTTAGGAAAGACTGGGGGAAAAAATGTGGCTTTTTGACAGACTGATGTGGACATTAATAAGATATGGAGCAGAAGTATGGGGATGGAGGGAGAGGGCAGGATTGGAGAGAGTGGAAAAAAGATATATTAAATGGGTTTTGGGAGTAGATGGAAGAACACCGGGTTACTCAGTAAGGGAGGAGCTACAAAGAGAGAAGCTAAGAGGGAAGGCGGGGATGATGGCATGGAGATTCGAGAAGAAATTAAAGGAGGGAAAAGGAAGTGAGCTGGCGAGGCTATGTTGGGAGAAGCTGAAGGGAAGGGAGAAGGAGGGGAGAGTGGAATCAAGTTAGGAACAGGAGAGGGAAAGTTTCTTGTAAGATAGAGGGGTGGGGTTAAAAGGGCTGGAAAGGTTAAGAGAAGAAGGAGAAGGGTGGCATTATGCCCTATTCCAAAAAGATAGGGAGAAGCAAAAGAAAGAGAAGGGTGGCGAGGTTTAAGTTAGGGAATAAGATGAAGGAAAGCAGGTATTGGGAAGGAGAAGAGAAGAAGAAATGTAGGATGTGTGAAAGTAAGGCGGAAACATGGGAGCATGTGTGGGAGGAATGTAGGAGGTGGAAATCAGGAGGAGGAAGTTGGCAGGAAGCGGTGGTATGGGTATTGGGACAGGAGGGGGAGGGTGAGGGATGGATGATGGAAATAGAAAGGGAAAAGATGGAAGGAAAAGGGGAGGCGGGGGAGTAGAAAAAAGGGGTAGAAGAAGGAGGTGGGGGAGAAAAGAGAGAGAAAAGGAGAGAGAGAGGGAAAATGAGAGAGAGGGAGAGAGAGCTAGGACGGAGAGAAAATTGTAACGAATAGAAGGAAACAGACATATATAGAATGCAAGAGGAAACGGAAGTCCCATAGAGAGGCGTATGTGTGTGTGTATTAGGAATAGGGGAAGAGGAAGCATAGCATATGCAGAATCTTCCCTCTCTAAATTAGATTTAGGGCCAGTTCCACAAATGTCGGTTAACTCTTAACCTCAGGTTAACTTATCCTTTGTTTCTTTCTAACGTCCCCCTTAGAAAGAGACGAAGAGTAAGTTAACCTAAGGTTAAGAGTTAACCGACATTTGTGGAACTGGCCCTTAAGGTTTTAGTTAAGGTTAAGTTAAGGATGTAGGTTAAGATTTTTGTAAAAAATTGTAAACCCTACGGGGGAAACAATAAACTATACTACTATAATCATATATGACCATATATAGTCAATATATATTAAAAAAGAACTGTTAACTTCGATAATAAAGCATTGATAAATTAAGATGTATATTTTTTCAAAAGCTGTAGAATCAAAAGTGAAATGATTTATTCCATATATTATAACTTGGCACTGCTTGACGTGAGACAGTGCCGTGTCTCTTGATACCTGTTTATACCACTGTTTGTCAAATTTTAAATACGAGAAACGAATCCTATTGAATGTCATCTATTGGATAATCCGAATTTAAAGTTTATATATAATTTTATATAATCATGTATAATCTACATAGATAAATGCTTCTTATATATAATTTATATATAAATTATATGAACTCATATATAATCATGTCAAATTGTATATGAAACATTTATATATATTTAAATATATTTTAATCGCCTTTTTATAATTATATATAATCATATATGTCATCATATATAAGTACGGAAATTTTGCTTTTTATATATAACGTTACATGAAATTATATATAATCATATAGGGTTATATATACTTCCATATGAATCTTATATGTATCCGTACATGAGTGCATATATGATCTGTTGTTCATATATCTAGTTATATTTGGAATTATATAAGCCCATATATAATTTTATATAAAGCACCAAAGTTCATATATAATCATGTATATTTATATATAATTATATATAATTATATATAATTACATATAATCTTTTTTTCCCGGGTTTCCTCAATGGAGTATAAATATCGAATGAGACACGTCTTATAATTTTTTCTCACGCCTCTTTTTCGTGAGATTTTTTTGAAGTCCAAATCTATACTTGAACGGGATAGGAGTCAAAGAAAAAATAAAAAAAACGTGCAAATTAAAAACTTGTCAGAAGGCTGTACTGTAATTGCAGAGCGTGCAGTCACATCAGAAGATATTGCATGCAGGATGAAAGGAAAACGCTAGTATATCTTGATTGAGTAGCAATGCCTTTTAATATGTGTTAATCGGCTACTGAGGTTTATACAAAGGTGGCCGATGGACAAAAGACAATGAGAAACCCCGCGCGAATAATAATTTGAGAACTAGAAAGCAGAGCTACCAACCTATGTTTTAGTACAAATTACTATACTTATTAAAAGGGCGGCATTGTGGTCTAGTGGTAGAGCGCCAGACTCGTAATCTGAAGAACCAGGTTCGAGTCCACTAGAGCCATGTAAACATGGAATGTTTTTCCAAAAGTTGCGCCCTCCGTGCAAGATAAGCTCTTGTGCGGAGCAAACTGGGCTCCGTCTTTCGGAAAGAGACGCTAAGCCGTTGGTCCAAAGGGTTAAGTGAGAGGAGAAGGGTAGTATTGGATGAGAATTGAATAAAGGGTTGGGAACGTCCCTACAAAAACGCTTTGCAACCCTGAGGGGAGTCAATAAACGTATTTTTTTTACTATACTTATTAACTGGTATCTTCCTTTCTCGGCATTTTATCTTGTTTACAAATTTTCTTCTATGAGGAGGCCAAAATTGACTAACTCATTTTCTCATGCAGGGAATTTATCGCGAATTTAGTTGGACGCACCAGTGCGCACTTAGTGCACATTAAAGCCGTTGTACTTCACTAATTTAATCTATAATATTTAAAGTAAAATGGAAATATTTCGACTGATAAAATGCCTAATACATATTTTACCAAATAGTACAATAATGACTCGTTTATATTAAACATACACTTTCCGTTGATTTGTTTACGGCGGCTTTAATGTGCACTGAGTGCGCACTGGTGCGTCCAACCGAATTCGCTATTAGTTAACAAAATAAAATAATAAAGAAGCAAGGTGCAAGTTTCTAATTTTCTCTTTTTTATATGTTGTAGTAGCTATGCTCCACATAACACATGCAAAGTAAAATAATTAAAAAACTTTAATTAAAATTTGTTAATATTAAAATAAAAATTATTAATTGAAATTTTCTTTTATTTTCTTTCATTATTGGTTACAATTTTTTTTATCAAAATTATAAAATTAGTTACTATCACTATTGCTACTACCGTTGGTACTGCTACTGCTGCTGCTGCTGTTGCTACAGCTGCTCAAATGACTACTGTTGGAATTGCGTGAAGGTGCGCTCTTATTTTTTTGTTTTGTTTTATTTACAGTTTCTTCTACAACATGAGCCCATAATTTATTTTTTATGTCATGTTTTCGAAATTTAAAATTTTTATCGAACTAAATTTTCATTGGGAGTAAGTCATGACTTGGGAGTAAGTCGTGACTATAGCTCGTCCTATTCTTGTCTACAAAAAATTATGAATCTATAATAACTTACTTGTCGTCTTCGCGACGCGTTTTGTGACTCTGTTTATGTCAGAGATTTCTTTGTCTTATGAATGTTTGGTAATCCCCTACCAATTCTTCAATCTTGTGCTTGTTATAACGACGATATAATTCCAGGAAGTACCTGAATATATCTGTAACAAAAAGTATAATTAAATTATTTTTTGGAAGGTATCTTGAAAAAAACGCTAAATTTTATACGAAATGCGTCTATCAATTCTGTTTAAAATTTTTCTTTTTCCAGAAAAATTTTTTTGTATGCAAAAAGTCCGTGTACTAACATAAATATATAAATTAAAAAGTAGTTTATTTCTGAACATTTGAATAAACTTTTCTTCGATTGCTTTCACAATACTTTTGTGGCTTTTTTTTTACTTTTTAACCTTTAATATTTCGAGTATCTCAAGTAGAATTCTATAAAATTGTTATTTACTGTATTCATATACTACTGCAACAATAAAAAGTTGAATTTTCGGGATTTAGCGTTGGATAGCCAATATGTCTTTAAAAATGGAGCCTTCTGTGCAAATAGTTGTTAGTGAGTTGAGACTATTGAAGGGCCCATCTTGAATGTAAAACGATTATGTACTTGTTAACAATTATTGAGCTACAAAATTTAGGACCCTTACAAAGACTACAAGTCAATGAAAGTGCTCCCCAAATGCCGATGTCACGTAGAGATAAACGATTAATTCAAGTTGATTACTAGTGCAATATAAAAGTGCATACTTACCGCGAACAGCAAGCGCTTTTGTGAGATTCAGCGAAGGCTTCGGATTACTCTTGGTGCGATTGGATGATGCACCTGTTACGCTCGATCTTTTTAGTTTCTTATCCCCAAAAATAGCGAGAGCCATGTTCTTTATAAACATCACGTCCAAATGTGCATCAAACACGGCATTGTCATAGGTCATTTTATCTATCCAAATATTCTGGCCATAGTGTATCTGTTAATTTCACAATAAATTTTTTGAAACAGCATGCAATAAACTTCTTTTTATAAGCTAATATAAAACAGCCGGAAGTTAAGAGCATGCAAAAGATAGCAGTTTCATAAATTATCTTTTGTAAAGGTCGGTGGGATTTCGAAAAGAAACTGTTAATTCAATATACTTTGACTTACCTTTTCTTCATTGCCATTTTTACGGATGAACCCCGGGACCGGTGATTTATTGATGTCTTCAAGATGTACGTTTTCATCATTGTCGACTGCTGATGTACGAGCACCTGTACTTTTTTTAATTACTTTTATATTTATGATGTAATGACACAGAGTTATGTACAAAGAATTTTATTTTACATTTTTGGAAGCAAACTACTTTCAGTGATCTGTTAATTCAAGATGTTCAATATCTTTAACGACCAAAATATATCATGAAGGTTTTTACACGATTAGAATATACTTTTTTAATGACATTTTTCATCACAAAATTAAAATATTTTTATTAACACGCTTGAACAATCGTGTTCGAGACTCTTGAAACCATTGCTATCCTTACATATTTAGTTATATTTTATTTAGTTATATTTTGTCATATTCTTTTTAGTATTGTTCCAAATTATATGAAAGGGATTATTCATAAAAATGCTATTGAATCTTTTCGACTGGTGCGATACTTTGGACTTTCCTGCATACTTTAGAGAAAGTTTGGAGACGTTTTCCGAGATGATGTTTGCGCGAGATAATATCTGGCAGCATCAAAATTTGCATATATGTGTGTGGAATACACAAAAAACATCAGCAACGTGAGCATGCTCATGTGGACTACTCGTGTAACAAAAAGTACTTACTCTGTAGCTGCTTCCAGTTGCTCTCTATCGTGCTGAGATATTGCATTACCGATGCCTCAAATTTTTCACATGACTGTTTTGATTGTTTGAGTTGATTCGTTAACTTTTCAACTAATTCAGTTAGCTTTTGCAAGCAATCACCAACATTTACTTTTTCCATTTCTAAATTCTTCTTTAAGCGCAATTTATCCTATATATGTAAATACCATATTTTTTTTATTTCCGATATATACATTTTTATCCTCATCTAACAGTATTCAAAATAAGAAAGAAATGAAGAAAGAAACCTTTGTATTAACTCAGATATTTGCATATTGCTTCCTCATAACTTTCCCGTCGTCACAAAATTTTCATGAGGAAGAAAAGAGACTGACATGCTCATTAAGAAGTTTTATGATAATGGAAAAAGTTAGGCAAAACACCAGGGAGAAACGCGAGATCGGATAGACATCTAGCAAACGTCTATCAGACGCATCTAACTTAGATCGATAAACGCATCTAGATAGACGTCTAAGTGGCCTCTTTTAGACGCATATAATAGACGTCTAATAGACGTTCTGCGTAATAGACGTATTATAGACGTATAATAGATCTACCTCTAAAGTAAAAGGACTAATTTACTTATTACTAAATAATAATACGTACTCATTTATACAAGATAAGGAATTTAAAGTATGGCACAATATTTTTCAAAACATTTAATTTCTGGGAAAAATGTTACCAAGGAGTACATACATATAAATGTTAGATCATCCTACGTGCCTTCTGTCTCTCGAAAACTGTCCTTTTCCTCAAAGAGGTTCGTTACTTACTCATCCTTTTTTTTCATTCTTTATTCACTCCTAGCGTTCTTCGTAGTCTGTATTCAGAACTCGCATCTATTCTCACTAATTGAAATTAGCAGCGAAATAATTGATTGTTTTAAACAACGGTTCTGAATATCGACAGACCTTTTTGCTCATCCGGTCTGCTTATTGCGTTGTATCCCATACAAGTTGGTGTATTTAATACGAGTATGTTAAATAAACTATTTAAATCACACTGATATTTGGTACTTAACACTGTAGAATGTAGAAATCCTGAAAAAGGGGAGTGCAAGGAAGATTCGTCGATAAGACTTGCCCTCGTTGCATTTGTATACATATTTTTTTATTAGTTATTCTTACACGGTTTTTTTATGAGCGGATATATATTTACACATCAAGATACAGAGTCGAAACCGAGTCATCTTGGTATTGTATTAATAATGAAAGACAAACGCAGTAAGATAAAAACAAACGAACAAATGATACAAAAGATGATGCTTCAGTATCGTATCAGTATATATATATGGTATATGTATTATGTATACTAATGTCATTATAATCATTTTATTATTTAGCAATTCTCTCGTTCGCTATAGTTAAGTCTGGGCAGAAATTGACGAACTCGCACTTACATGTTTATAACAAGACATCCGCAATTGAACGCCAGATTCACAAATCCACTCTCTCTCTCTATGAACCCTCGCTCCCACATTTTTATCGGAATCGTAAAAATAAAAAAATAAAATAAAATAAAATTTACTAGCGCGTCTAAACACAAACGCGTAACTCTATGATTGTCCTACTAGGATGATCTACGAGACTCGGCCATCGCAACAGTGGCTTTTCGCGATAAACACCCCGCAGGGTCTTCTTACAAAATTATTTGGTCTATCTTGCAGTGTATCTAAAGCTTGAACTATCTTGCACCTCTGGTGGTGTCACTTCGTTCCGACGTAAAAAGAGCATGTCGATATTTCTACATCACAATAAACCTGTAATACTAATGTGCAGGTTTCATTCTTTCTTTGGCATTTCGCAGCCATGGTCTGAGAGACTTCAATGCTTCACTCAGATCACTTTCTTCAAATTTTAACAACAATGTACCTAAAAAAATAAACGTATGGATTAAAAAATATCAACATTTGCTAAAAAAAAAGAACTAGCTGGATTCTGAAAAGCGCATTTTATATATACATATATGCACATGCGCACATACATTTCACGGAACTCAACTACTCATTCAGACATTATACCTTGTACCAATTCCCATAATTTTGTGGATTTGAAAGCCAATTTAGTTCCATGACCATCGAAGTTATACTCTTGGGCAAGAGAGTTACTCATGAGGTTTGACATAAGTTTAGATACTGCTCGAGCTTCATCATTTCCCAAAGGAAGAGATTTCAAATAGTAACACTGAAATAAAAGGAGATTGATACAGAAACAACAGATACGTAAAGGTTATCCGACGTTACATTTTATCAAGTAAAGAAATATATAATTTAATAATAAATAATAAAAACTTGCAACTCCAATATCTATGGCGTTACGATTAGATATCAGGGTGTGTTGCACGCGGTGTTACGGCACGAGCGATATACACGACACGAGCAATAATCCACGGCACAAGCATTAAATACGACAACTTCTTTTGACTCGATTATAATTATAATGTCTAATGACCAACTTAAAGGAACGCCAGAGTGCGGAGATAATTTATACCGGAAACCAGTGCCAACAACAATAGTCTCGATCGATGGCAAATGTTTTCTCAAAAATTCCAACGATCTGAATAATATGTTTTGAATCGTGGCGAAAGTCGACCCAGCAACAGCGAGAAGTAGTGTATAGCGCGTTATTACTGAGCGCGAGTCTATGTAAAAAAACAACGTGTACACACGGCCGGCCCGTGACCGAGCGCCAAGGCCGCCGACAGCAAGGCGAAAACGTATGGCTTGCTCGAGAATATTCTAGATCTGAAAATAATGTGTACTACTGTACTTACCGGTTTATCTGTTTTATCCATTTCGATTGATCTTTAGTCGATGTAACGGATGAGTCCAGATGAACAAAAAAAATCCAGCTCGCAATTATACAGTCATCCAAAAATATAATTGCTCTAGTTCCGGCCAGAACCGGCCCGAATCCGCTCGCCAACACTCCCGACAAAAACCACGAAAACCTCCACACGCAGTGAAAACGCGGATCCGCGGACCCACGACCATTAACGCCCCGGCTGAAACACGGCAAAACACGCACGGCCAGATCTGGCCCGGATAACCCGCTCGCGATCGCCACCACCCGGCACGGATGCGTCGCATATACGTATGACAACCGACGCCGGTCGAGATAAAACCCGAAACGCGATGGAAACGCGGATCCACGGGCGCGCGACCGAAACTCTTTAGTCGATTGCTGCACACACACAGGACACAGGACGATGGGACTGCACGACTTAACGAGACGCGAGCGCGAGAACAACAACGTTTCCCGCGCGGTTAGAGCGAGCTTCTAGGAGAGAGCTAGAGAGGCGCTCATTGGTCACGTGACGTTTATTCCAGTCAATCAGAGAGTGGCTCGTTAGTGCTACTCTCTCCTATAGGCTCTTTACGCGCGGTAAAATGGCGCGACGCCAGTGTAGACAATCAAATATTAATAACCAGCATTAATTAGCTAATAATGACGCCCGCGAAAAAATCAATCACTATAACGTACAGCATTCCGTAAAAGTCTAATTTTAATTAAAGATTAATTAATATCAATTATTGTGTACATATAATTATATTTAGCAGCAGCAGAGCGAAGTAGCCGCCTGCACGCCCCGATATCGACGTCGTATCGATGTCGATTCGACGTCTTTTCAAATTCATTACGTGTCATTCACTTAGACGTCTATTAGATGTTTATTAGATGTCGAAAAGTAAATTGAGCTCAAAAAAGTGTTTTATGAACAATGCACCGTTATTGTGTAAATATTAGGTTTGAACTGTCTCTAAGAAAACGCGGTGGCATAAAATCACATAACATCTAATTAAGATATTTCTAGACGTTGTTTTAGATTAGATGGCTCCGACATCTAATAAACGTCTATCCGATCTCGCGTTTCTCCCTGGCGCGCAGGTTTCTACACTTTCAAGGGTTTCTTCTCACAATCAGTTGCATTCACTTACGCTTGTTTTACGGGCATGCTTCTTTTTTGTGAGGTGAGACCTCTTCTTCTTATTGTTAGAATGTTTTGTATTCTGTGGACATGATAGTTTTTTTTAAACAAGACATTGCAAAATGTGACTCAATAACTTCATCGATAAAAATAAATAGTAATTCTGCTTTCATACTTTGTTATTATTGTTTGACGGAAGAGGGACCAATTTATTAAATTTTAATGCTTTATTCGGCGGAGTCGCATCTGTTTTCGTTGACGATGGTTTACTGTTGAAAGATAGCGTTGATGAAGAAGTCAAGGAAACTTCAACCGCAGGAGACTTCGGAACTTCAAGATCTTTTGCAAGATATTCACCTGTCGCAGGCGAATTCCCTAGGGAGAGTTCAACGCTCTTTATTGGAGACACCATATGGGGTGTCACAACACCGTCCGAACTCTACAGAAAACATGATGTGATGAAAGGAGGTCCTATATAAACTAACAATAAGTTGATAACAATTGGGGAAAATAGTAATAAAAAATTGCAAATTATTCAAGTAATGATAATGAATTTAACGGGTCACGCCCGGGCACAAAATAATCACAAATTAAAATTTTTTTTCATGCAACCACTGTAATGAAATTTTTTTATCATACATGTGCTTTGTTAACGCTGATGGGATTGTAAATAATCTATTTTTGACATTGTTTATCTGCTCATCAATCAAAGTTGATTTCTTCTCACAAATATTAAAACACTTAATTGTGATCTTCCAGAGGTGCAGATTTATATACCCATCTACAGCCGCGCTGTGTTGAACGTTCCAGATGCATTTTTTATCGGTGCAGGAAATATTCTCAAATTTGTCGACATTATGTCTAAAAGTTTACATTGAAACAGCATACTACTACATGTGTTATTGTTAATATATACATTAATAACTTTTATATGTACTTACCAATTACAATATAGCAAAACTGCAACCGTGTGTTTGCATTTTGCACTCATCCCTGTTTTACAACTGCATTTTGCAGATGATATTTTCCCTGATTTCTCTATTACTATGTTTATTTTGTGAGGTGTACTTTTAACATCTGACATTTGAAGGCAATATGCAGTTAAATGCCATTTGTCAGGGGTTTTTTTTCAGGCGTCCTCGGATGAGGACTATTACGGTGCTTTAGACCCTAAAATAATTAGAACAATGCAGACTGAACTTAAGTTACTTTTCCTCTAGTGATCAAATGACTTTGTCAATATGTTTTAAACATTTGAAAATAATATATAGAATATCCCAATTCTTGGTTTTAATGAGGTGACAAATATCCATTTCGACCAAATAGCCCTCAGCTCTTAACTCTACATCCATGTCAATTCTCTGAGCATCGTATTTATGGCATCTTGTCAGCAGATGTTGCAAGTCTTCCCTCTCATAACTACATTCACACCTTTCATCGTCAACATAACCCTTCCTCCTCAAAGAAGCTCCGAGATTATAGTGGTTGGCTCTCAATCTGTTGATTAAAGTGACGAAATATCTCTCCGCGTTAACCTCTCGGAACCATGGTCTAACCGCTTGCCGATCGTAAAAATTGTCGAAGTAAAAAGCGCCCTTGTGCGCAGAATCGCAAATAAATCAATAGTTGTGTGGCGTCCCACGTCTCCCTTCTAGCGCGCGTCATGAGATCCCCCATCGGAGTCTCAATGGAGGGGTACGTCAGCCTCCTCACTGGCAGCCTCCTTGGCCAGCACGTCAGCCAATTCGTTGCTGGCAATTCCGACATGAACGGGGATCCACACTAATACGACATTCTTACCATACTCATATTCCAATTCATATACTAATATTCTGGCCTCCGTAATATATTTATTCTTATGAACGTTAAGATGATTGTTATATATAGCCTGTAGGACAGATTTGCAATCTGAGAAAATAACAATATCTTTATTTCTGTCTATGTGTTGAATCTTCATCAGTTGAAGGGCTGACTTAACGGCGAAAGCCTCCGTCGTGTATGAGGAGCACAAATAAGGTAGACTCATCTTCTGCGCTGTTTCTTGGTCGCAGATGATCATACTGGCACCTGTGGATCTTGAGTCTTCACTATACGATCCATCCGTAAAAATAATTTCCGGGGTATCATTCAGATCATACTGATCTATCACTTTTCGAGCCAATGTTCGATCAGAAAACCTATCACTCTTTCTCTCCTTGCCAATTGCAAAATTTACCTTGGGCTTGAATGTGTGAGCACTGTATGTGCCCGGAAAAATTTCAAATTTTCTGGGGGGACCGATTGTGGAAATGAACGAACGAGCCCCCCTCCATAACTCCGAAAGGAGCGACAGCCTATACATTGGTTGGCGAAATTGGGCGTAGCTTTCGCAATCTAGCAGCCGCTGTAACTTGCCGCATAGACCACTTTGATTGTAGGCAATAGATTTGTTGATAAAATTGCGGCCGAGTAGAGCAGCGCGGTCCTTCAGCAGCCTCACCTTGGCCTCTGCTACGATAACGTTGTTTGCTGTATTATTTCTATATCCAAGGGCAGTACGAATGCCCTTGAATAGATATTGGGATCTTTCCAGCTTCAACTGCAGCGCAGTATCCCTGGGGAAAGTAGAAAAAGTTCCCATAATCCGTAATGAATCTTACCAGCATGAGGGCTGTGTTGACCTCCATACCTTTAGACACCTTACAGAGGTACTTTATAACAGAATTAGTTCGGTTTATTATTCCTCTAACTTCTGCCACTTGTCGATCATACTTCAAACAATTGTCCAGCCAAATGCCCAGGAACCTAGCTCCGTTGCTATTGTGCACCACACAATCTCCCACACGAATGCTAAGGTTTCTATCAACAAAGCCACTCTTGGAGAACTCCACCAATACAGACTTTTTTGGCTCGTGATCAAGGTCAATCTTACGCAGACGTGCCGCAACAATGTCAAGCGCACGCTGGAGCAGCACTCTATTCCGGTGCCGGTTTGGACCACATATGTATAGCCCTATATCATCGGCAAATTCAACAACCCTCGACACCCTCAGGAAGATTGGCACAAATACCCTGCGTGAACAGGGAATATAGTACAGGACTAAGAACAGCACTTTGCGGGAGTCCCTTAAAGACGTATTAAATTATAAATTCAGGAGAATTAACAATAAATCGTACCTTTCTACGGTAGAGTCAGTTGCTAATAAACTTGACAATACCGGAGGGACAATCAAGTGCTATTAGTTTATCTATCATTATGCGGAAGTCAACGCAATCGTAGGCAGACGAAACGTCGAGAAAGACCGCAAGGGTATATTTCCTAGCACAAACAGAGGCTCTGATGTCCGACACAATTCTCGTCAAATTATCTGCGCAGGATCTGTCTCTGCGGAAACCGCTCTGGGAAGTACTGAACTTCTCTTCCTTTTCTGCCCACCAGATAAGTCTCATTGATCATTCTTTCCATCAATTTACCGATGCACAATGAAAGTGATATGGGGCGTACCTTTTCTCGTCCCACTTTGTCGATAAATATTACCTGGTAGTTCAACCATTCCGCAGGCAACATTCCCGAAGACCAGACCACATTGGGGGTGTCCACCGCCATAGTCCATAGCAGGATCAGTCCCCACAAACGGGGGAGCCAATCCTTCAATGGAGGTTCTGATTTCCTCCTCTTTATTCTTCGTGGGCCAAGCATGCCATTCCAAATTCTTTCTAGCGTTCTTGAGAATGCGCATCGTGTTTCACACGTAGCTGAGACTTGTAAAACAATTAATATCGCTACAAAATCTCTCAAAGTTAGCTTTCTTTTTTGCCTTAAAGGTCCGCCTGGCCAGCGCCTTGGTCCTCTTATACTCAATCCAGTCATGAATACTTTTTGTCCTCTTTTAAGTAAAAAAAGCAGATTTTCTGCTACAAATCGCCTCGTCACATTCAGCGTCCCACCACTTATGCGATCTCTTGCGCCTGTCGGGATCGTCTGGAGGAGGTCCAGGATCCTCACGTCGTCTACCCGATGCAATAGAAACGGATTTTCTCAGTATTTCCACGAAGCAATCATAGTACTTCTCCAGATCGACCTTGAAAAGCTCACAATGTGGGAGCAAGAAGGCAACAACCTCGCCCTCCACCAAAGTGCTGAATTACAACCAGTCTGTCCTTGCAGTAGACAATCTATTAGTGATTTTTCTGTACAACTGAGGATAAACATCAAAGGAAAAAGAGATGAAAAAATGATCGCTGTCCCATGTCTCTTCCAGTTGTCGATAGAAAACTCTGTCGACGATACCCTCCGAACCGAACATTAGATTCAGGTTGGAATCGCGCTGGTCACGAGAGCCCTGTCGCGACTTAGTGTCTGTATTTATGCATATGAAGTCCTCATCACTCATCAGGTCATATAAAAGATCGCCCCTATTCTTTGTAGTTGGACAGTTCCAGGCGACATTGTGGGCATTCATATCTCCCAATATAATCGAGTCATTATTGTTACCATTAATTGCCTGAAAAACGGGCAAAAGATCACGTCTCGTCATAGGTTTACTAGGGTGCCTATAGATAGCGACTATATTTAGATTTTGATTCAAGTTCTTGGTTCTCACGCCGACAACATCATAGCCCACCGATAAAGTCCAAAGGATAGAGAGAGTTTCAAACTCCAAGTGATTAAGAAGGAAAATTGACACGCCCCCACTGCCGAGGCGATTGTTACTATTGACTGTCTTATAATTGGAGAAAAAACCTTATTGAGACCAGAGCATCTGGTTTCAGTAAGCACCATAATATCATACTCTAAAATATTTTTCGTAAGCTCATCTCTATTAGTCTGATAGCCCCGGCCATTCCACAGACGGAGATTAAATTATAAAGCGGGGAGGGTCCCAGGCCTCCCATATCTTACCAGAGCTTTCCCTAAGTCCTTATTTCTGTTCAGTTCTCTTCTCGCTAAAAGGTTATTTTCACTTCCACCGTAATCCAACTGATCCCGTCTATCAGTATGCATAAGTGCGCTAGTCAAAATTTCTATTGCCTCCGGAAATCTCTGCAGTAGTTGCAGAATATTATTCAATACCTCGCCAACCAGGTCGTGAGAAGGGTCTGAGCCTCCGTGATTATCTTCTTGATCACCCCTAACAACTTGCGTCCAAGAAGCCCCATTATGTGCCGCAAGCAGGGCTATGCCCCTCTTCTCCTTAGTTATCTCCTCAGCACGGCTGTCAAAGCGATCATAATAATTCCCAATGTGCCCCGAAGGCGGGTGCACTTCTCGGCCTAAAACGAGGCAGATTGTCCCTCGTCTCTGCAGATTGTGGGTCGCGGAGAGTAGGGTTTCGTCTTAAATTTCCAACTTCTGCAGCATTATTCGGTGGCTCCGTTTCCCTCGATAGTATTGGCCAAGCCTTAGAGTCTCCAAATCTATCTTGTGGCTTTGCAGGAGACGCTCTTCTCACAACCAACCGCACAGTTTTATGAAATGAAATGTTATTATGTGCCACAGCAATGTTAATATTTTTGTTTTTTTCATGCAATGGGCATCCTCTATACGTAGATTTATGAAAGCCTTCGCAATTATAATAGCGCACCGGTCTGTCACAATGCCCGTGGATTTATCACCGCAGACGATACACCGAGTTTTGCTTTTACATGCTATCTTAGTGTGGCCAAATCTAAAACAGTTAAAACATTGGCGTGTAGGCGGTACGTACGGTCTCTCAGTCCCACTCCATTTCTAAAAATTTTTAGGTTACGGGTCTTATTTGCCTTAAATGTGATGATAATATTGTCCGTGTTGACTAGCGACGATTTTTGGGACTCGGGGTCTTACCTCCGCCGGAACATCCTGTCCAATCTGAGTATACCAGATTTATCCTGAATCACGTCCCACAGATCCGAAATACTTGAGGGCCAGTCCGAAATAACTCCCTTGCAAATAACAGCGCGTTGCTCCAAATGAGCTGTTAATTTCGGCTCATTGATTTTTCTTATAATGTCTAGAGCACGATTAGCGTCAGAGAAATCCTTAAAATCTATTTCAGCTGAGAAATGATTAATCATGACAGCGTTGTCGAGCAGATATGCAATTCGTTAAGAAACATCCACATCTTTATACGATTCCTACCTTTTGTCGTAGTGGTTTGGTCGGGGGGGGGGGAGGCGAATAATAATCTTGGCGATTCCCTTATGATTTCATATCTCGCAAATCGTTGCACGTCAATAGAATTACCGGGAACACATTTTCTCAAAATGGAATCGCAAATGATATAAGATTCTTTGTCAGGCAACAGGGGATCATCCACACTATTTACGCGTGGCGTGTTCACGTCACTCACGTGATCACCTAAAGACGGCTGCGTGCCACCGGCAACAATATCAATATTACTATTACTCGAAGTCGTTTTGTTTATGAAAAGTTCACGACCTCTAGTCTCCTCAAGGCTCGCGGAGGTGTTAATATCCACCTCCATATCGTCCTCAGGTGTTGGAATACCTGCATCGACCGTTAAGTTGCGTCGCTTACGCAATTCCTTATCCCTTTGCTGTTTCGAATTATGGCTCCTTTGGCTTATTCGATCCACATCCAACAAGTCCGACGTCCTAAATTCCTGTGAGAAATTGTCAAATTCCTGCTCAGTCATACAGGTGCGGATTTTCTTGCTCGAGTTGTTCACCGAGTCATCGTCAGAAGAACGAGGGCTATTACGTGCGCGTCGCGTGGTCGAGTCCGTCGTATCCATGTAATCTTAATTAACGAAAAATATTCCGTGCTCTCCCTCCGAGGGGGGGGGGGGGGGGGCAACACTAAGAGAAAGTAAAAACTCTCCCAAAAAAGGACTTCTCGTCACAACCTCCACCACCGCGCAACACCGTATCAAAAAGCCGGTATAATCTTGGAACAATTAAGCAACACAAGCAGCGGGCACACACGTCCGTCTCGCACGGTGGCTCGATCCGAACTCGATGCCATTTGTCATCATCTTGAGCGGTTATCCCGCATGTTAATAAGTGTCCACAGCACAACAAATTTTCTCCTTCCATGAAATTCCTTAAAGAAGAGGTGCACTGTGCAAATGCACATATTTCTTTTATATTTAGGTACATTTTTTTATCACACGCGTTTAAAAGGCATGATAAACCATCTCAGACCGTATATTTGCGTACAACTTTCAGGAATAGGCCAGCCATCTTGGCCTTGTGACGTCACGGCTACGTCACGACTGAAAATCCCAATACGCTGCAGCTAAGGGAAACTTAATTTATCGAGTACTATTTACTATGTTTAAAGCAAATGAATTATACCAATAAAAACTTTATACTGTCTACTACTATAAAAAAATAGAAATACAAAATATTTTCTCTCTCTCTCTCTCTCTCTCATTCTTTGTATTTAATTTAAAAAACTTTTAGAAACTCTTACATTTTTGCCATATATCCCATAGAGGTGGAATATATGACATTCATGGGTGAAATATACACCTTATTAAAAATTACAAATAACGTTTATAAATAAGGCAATAAAATGTCATAATAAGTTATAAAATGTGTGTAAAAAGTTTATTAAGGTGTAAGAATAATAAACAAATTATAAAACTAAAAAATTAAAAAAAATAAAAGAACGATAGATGCATTAAAAGTTATTGTTATACGATCCAAAAAACAAAGAAGGAAAAAGAACACACAGGAGATTTTGATTTTTACGGAGTGTCTGTACTATGGCATAAATCATGCGCGCTAAAAATGCCGTATATCCTAAACAGGTGGGATATACAAAATATCAAGCTAAATAAAGAATATAAGAGCTATGCACTTGTATTTTGCTGTATTCCATCCTTTACTATCCCTCTACACTTATGTATCATAAAATAACCATTAAACCTTTTACATTCCCTTATACAGTAATCATTTAACGTAGATAGTTATATATGATCGCGTTACTTACTACGGTGAGAAATCGATTCAACTCACGACGGTTTCGTTAAATTTACAGTAAAGAACTGAAATTACAACACCTGTTAGAGCAGAATAGTTGCATGAAACGGAGCGGGAGAGAAACGGGTTAATTTCACTTGTTGCTGTCTATATATAAGCTTCATTATATTACAATGTATGGCGCGTGTTTGCTCTCATGTTTCCGGACTGCGACTGTTCAGTCGCTAGGCGAGACCGGCTTGCTCGAGATTTGGTGCGCGCGCATGCTAACAGGAATAGGCTCGGCGCTCATCTCGATTTCTGCAAGTACGGACTTATCGATAAACATGTCAATATACAATCACTAGCATCACGTAAAACAGGAAACGCGATTAACATTTATTCTTAACAGTACATGAAGCACGGAAACGCGGAAATGCGAAAACGCGAAAACGCGGAGTCGCGGAAACACTGAAACGCGGAAGACAAATGTACTAGATTCCCGCGTTCCGTTCCGTCTGTTTTGATTGCCTTATATTACATGGCATATTTTGAGCGGAAAAGCGGAACCGAGAATTATAAAATGTTAATTTTTAACGGTATTTATTGATTAAAATGCTTGTATTCAATAAATAAGCTAAAAAGATAAGCATGGCATATTAATAAAAATTGCAATAAATTAAGTGAACACAATTAAAAGAAATGAATACAAATGTCTATTTGTCACATACCGTTCCGCTTTTCCGCGCAAATTGTGCTCTATATGTAATATAAGGCAATCAAAACGCGGGAATCTAGTAAATTTTATCTTCCGCGTTTCCGCGTTTCCGCGCTTCATGTATGTGTCACCCTGACGCTCGCTTTGTGACAACGATCAATAGAGAATCGCTTTCATTAAACGCCAATTTTGAACATCATTCGATCGAACGTTTCTTTCCCGATAAAATAACGTTAAAGAAACTATTATAGAAACGTTTTTTTTAATAATAAAATTTAAAATTCCTACTTTTCACGTCTTTTGAACGTGTTTATGATGTCTTTGAGACATGCGTCAGAATGTTCTAGAAGCTTTATACATGTACCATTTATACTATGGCGTCTATTCTTTTTCGAAGGAATTCCTTAACTGGTGCACATTCGCAATAAGTTAGAGTGAAACAATTAAATATACTTGCCTGACTCTAACTTGTACAGTCCGTTATTGGTTTAATCGTTTTTGTTTCTGGTGATCTCGAGAATGAGTCGTGTGTGCGACCTGAGACGAAGGTCGATAATGATGAATTAAAGGCGATAGTGGAAGCGGATCCATCTCAAACTTTGGGTGAATTAGCAACAAGGTTTAATTTTAGTATTAAAACAATATTGGTCATTTGAAATCAAAATGGTAAAATAAAAAAGTTGAAAAAGTAGATGCCACACGAATTGAACGAACGCCCAAAAGAGCACGTTTTAAAGTCTGTATTTTGCTGTCAAAACAAAAATGAATTTTTTAATCGAATTGTTATTAATTGTGATAAAAAATGGATCCTGTACGAAAATTGCAATAGTTGGGTCCAAGTAAAGCACCTGCTTGGAATATTCCCCAATTCCGAATTCGTAGTAACGCTCGCGAGTCGCGTCCATGTTATTTCTCCTTTCCAGGCTCTAGTTCAGATGGCTTGTCGATTGAGTAGTTTAACGATAAGCGGAAGAGAGAAGTGAGAAATAAAGGCGCATTACGCCGGCACTTGCCGAAAGGGACATGTTCCAAAAACACATGCGATTTTTAGTTTTGATAATCAATCTGTAGTTAGACCAGAGTGCAATAAACCAAAGGGTGCTAAACTTTACTGTGTGCTTCTTGCGGACTATTCGCCCTACTGCGACTTGTCGCTGTTTGAACATAATTTGGGAGAGATACTTCTAGGTATTCGGTCAGGAGCATTAGAAGTTCAAACATTACCAAAACAGTGCCTGAAACGTCTACCAGAAGAAGCTTATAATCACTGTTTGGTGATCCTCTGCCGGTGTTATTTATTTCAGTTTCATAAAACTTGGGATAAAACTTTGATTACGGTAGATGTAACTGCAAGGAATTGTAAACCATGATGGAGAAGCTTGCAATTAAATATAATAATCGAGATTAATCAATCACTCTTCCCCTATCTTGTTTCATGATAACGCGCGACCACATATTTTACAAAAAATTGTATCAAAATTGCAAGAGCTATAATTGGAAACTCTCCGTTAACCGCCATATTCCCCAGACCTTACACCAACAGACTACTTCTTTTGGAATTTGAACAACTTTTTACACGAGAAGAAATTTAATTCACAAGAGGCTGTCGAAAGTGCCTTTGATTTTACCATTGAAATAGCAAAAATGTATTAATAATATGGGTGCATACTTTGATTGAAAATAAAGTGTTTGTCTTAAACACAATATGCCAAACTTTTTATTCAAAAACGGTCACATAAGTAAATCTCTGATACTGGCTTTCATTTAAAAAAAACTACACAAATGTGATTTTGTCATAAGAAAAAGTTGATCCTTTTAATATAAAAAATCGTGCACATATTTTGTGCGCTGTTGCGTGTCGCAACTCATTTTAAATATTTTTAAATATTTATGATTTCTATTCCAAACAGTTTTTATAAGCAGTTTTCCCAAACAAATACTCCAATAAGCCCACTATTTGTCTAAGCCCTTACCTCATGACTCATTTACTTTTTATAATATCTAAAATCCTTTCCTGAACATCTGATCCACAATCAACTAATAAGGATTAATCGTATTCAAACGGATCATATTGCACCATGTACCGATCTTTTCCTCTTTATTTTTTCTCTTAAGAAACTGCACTAATCACTAATTCCGAGAGATTAGAACGTCATGTTATTGGTTATTATTTCAACAAAAATTTTACCTGTTTTTTTTAAACTAAGATCCCTCTTGGACACATATTATAAAATTTTTCGAAATGGATTTTGACCGAAATTGTTTAGTTATTTCCTAGATTTTTATTACGTTTTCTGGAGAAAACGGAATAATTCTAATCAGAATCCATTCCGAAAAGTTCAATAATATATATACTCTGAACTGTAAAAGCAGTTCTCAGCAATGTGTATATAATTGTTTATATATTTTTTTTAATATTTTCCCAGTTCCAACGTTGTTCTCCTTTACGGAAAACTTTCATCTGAAGTTCTATATCGATGTCTAGATAATGGTATACATTTGCACTTTTCAGCGGTATCCATTTAATAGGACACAAATCCGAAATAACAGGCGTTGGATTTCTAAATAAAATTAGCATTAATTATTAATATGCAATATATACTCTCCATATAAAATGCGAATAAAAATATTAAGTCCATAATACCCTGTTTTAGCAAAATCTGCCCACAGCTGCGTTATGTAATTTATCATTTTATAATCCTTCGAATCAGGTGTAGGCAACGATATTCCCAAGTCTTTCATCATGTGAGGACAAAATAAATAACCCACATCCTCGAAATGAGTTGAACCTATAAAATGTATTGTCATACAATAAATTAATCTTAAAAATGCAAACTGATAATTTCTACTACATATATTAATCTACAGTGTTTGATTTAAATATATACAGAGTGTTTCGAAATATGTAAGAAGTATTACAGTGGTGGATTTAGGATACAAAAACAATGAAGGAAGTTTATATAAACATATGTCCAGTTATTTGACCTTGTTTCCAAGTTATAGCCATTTTTGTGCTTTAGTAATTTACAGCTGCTTACCTTTATAGGAGGTGCTCGAAATCGTCCTTATTTTGTTTGTATTTGTAAACAGTGCAATATATTTTCAGAATATTCCCCTTGTTGATTTCACACATTCTATTGAATGAATTATAATAAGTGGTTCTAGCAAGAGAACCAACTGAAGTGAGTAAATTCAATCAATGGTCTAGTTTACACCGACTGTTTGGTACCCGTACCATGTATATAGTGTATATACTCATATTTGTATCAAATTCGTATCAAATCTCGGTTTACACCGGTATAATCCGAGATTTAATACGGATTTGATACGGAGATTCACAAATAAAATGTGTGAAATCAACAAGAACAAGGTCGGGAAATTGGGATCTGACATTCGTCGCCATGACATCTGGTGGTCGAAAGTGAAAGCACTCAGGGCTCACAGATCTCGTGGCATTGTACATACAGGCTTAACGTGCGGTCGTACTGGGTTTGTGTTGTATTTTTATTAATATGGATGAATTTTCCCCGCGTTGCAAATCTACGAGCAGAATTGAGTGTTTAGTTCGCGGTTGTAGAAGTAAGGTTGACAGAATTTAAATGTTCGATTTCATCGCTTTCTCAAGCCCAAAGAGTGCTTCGTACATGTCAAAAATTATTTTGGCAATTTAGAGAAAATTGAT